TGTGTGTGTGTGTGTGTGTGTGTGTGTGTGTGTGTGAGAGAGAGAGAGAGAGAGAGAGAGAGAGAGAGAGAGAGAGAGAGAGAGAGAGTGTGTGTGTGTGTCTTTCTGGCTTTTTATAAAGAGTATTCTAAATCAGGCCATGCGTCGATTGGTATACCAGTTTCACACTGTTTAAATTACTGAGACTGTAAGTATTTCACAGCTTTAAATAAGCTGTAGGTTTGTTACATTTCCCTTCAGTTCATGTCCCAACTTGTTTGGAAAGCACTTTGAAGGGCTCTCTTGAATCTAAGTCTATAAACCTTTGGGAGAGAGTCATTCAGATTTTAAGTACCAAGTTAGTTTGCATATATATTTGAGGGTTTAATAAATACCAACTTACAATAACAAATCAAGATATTAAGTCTTCCATCATGTAAACAAGGGAAAAAAAAAAACCCACTTACCCGGGAACTGAAGCGGGTTTGATTGTGGCTGGGAATGGTGTAATGTTGTAAGTATACTTTTCCCTCAGCTCTGCCAACTGTGGGAAAGGGAACGGAGCCATCGAGTAAACAGTCTGAAAAACAAAAGGGAAACTTGCCAGGTCTTTCTGAAACGGTGACCTAACAACCATCGTCAGTCCTGTGTTAAAGGCATGAATGTCCCAACGGGGTCGAGGCCAGACAGACAGATTGCTCCTCGTGGGACACCTGGGAGAGACTTCTATTTTGGAGAAAGACAGAATTGTAAAGCAGAGATGGGATGTAGCTCCGGCAACAGAGTGCTTGCCTAGTCTGTCTGAGGCCCTGAGTTCGGTCCCCAGCACCACATACACATAGCACGGTGGTACGGGCCTGTGATCCCAACACCAGGGAGGGAGAGACAAGAAGATCGGGTCATCCTTAGCTCAGTAGTACATTTGAGACCAGACTAGGCTATATGAGAGCCTATCTGAACAAAATAAAACGAAGCCAGAATATTGCAGATTGGGTATTATCAGCTCTAAGCCTTTATGCAAAGTGCTCCGAAATCTGAGACATTCAGAGCACCAACATCATGTCTAAAAAAAAAAGTCCACATCTGACCTCTGTGGGTCACAGACAAAAACAGGGATATACTCAACATATGGTCTAATACTACCTTCAGATGCAAGTATGAAGATCGTATGACATACACATAAATTTTATGTTTAGGCCTGTGCTCCATACCCAAGATTCCTCACTGCAAACATGCAAACATCCCCCAAATCTGAGTTATTTCTAGCCCAAGCACTTCAGATAAAGAACAATCAACTGGTACTGATAAACACCAGTGGCTGTCTTTACAAGGCAGCCAGCTGCACACAGCCAAGAACGCCGAATGAGGAGCACAGGTGGAGAAATCCGGACATCTAGCATCTGAGAATGCATTAGCTCCTGTGACATCTGTACCAAAGAACCCACATATGCCCTAAGGCCTGGCTTGTTTCAAGTGTTAACGTCCGAGGGCATTCAGATCAGCTTTCTGAATAAAATTAAGTTTTGAGGATGACCTTGTGATTGACAGCAAGCTTTCCCCAAAGATACCACCTTTTCAAAAGCCCATGAGTGAGCTCTAAGTGAAAATCGCTAGCTGTTATTTTTAAAGGGAAAAGAAAAGACAGCGGCAAGTTAACAAGCACAGGCCATAAAAAAAAATCAAAAGAAGGGAGCCGGGTGTGGTCACTCACACTTCAATCCCAGCACTCAAGAGGTAGAGGCAGAGGGATCTCTGTGAGTTTGAGGTCATCCAGTCTACACAGCAAGTTCAAGACAGCCAGGGCTACACAAAGAAACCCTGTCTCAAAAAAGCGGGGATGGGCAGACCAGATTCTTACACCAGCATTTCAAACCCGCGTATCTTCCCATCAGCACGGAGAAAAGGATTCTGTTGGCTCTCTTCCTCTGAAGTTTTCATGGCTCCACACGCACTCAATCAACCCCTCGGTTTCCACTCACCAGCAAATGCACGTTCATAACACTCGCATTTCTTCACAGAAGCCCATCAGATGTCCTGATGAGGAGCTAGGAAGACGACTCAGCAGTTAGAGCACCTGCTGCTCCTTCGAGGACTGAGTCTCAGTTCCCAGCACCCACGTGGCAGCGCACAACAGCCTATGACTCCAGTTCCGGGGGGCGGGGGGGGGGGGATCCAACACCATCTTTTGTCCTTCGTGGACCCCAGGCATGCACACCGTGAACATACATTCAAATAGGTGAAACACTCATCAATATAAAATAAAAATAAATCTTTTTAAACTGTACATGCTGGTGATCCTTGGCTAGGAAAATGTTTTTAAGTGGTGAGGTTTTTTTTGGTTTTTGTTGTTGTTGTTGTTTTTGGTTTTTTTTCATTTTAGCAAGGCTTTTCCTCTGGGGCTGAGATGCCGCACAGGTGGGAATGAGGTGTGATTGGTGCTGCACTTTGTAATCCGGTGATGTCACTGTGAGAATTCGCTGCAATTTGGATACACCTATCCTTCTGACTGTCCCCAAACTTCATGCCATCCACCGATATACTTTATATACCAAATCAAGATCCCAAACAAGTGGTAGCTAAAATCTCTTCTCTTTGTGCAAAGCTGTACAGCCTACAGAGAACACCAACATTGTTTTTAAGCCGTGGGCTCACATACACTACATGCTTGATTATCCGCAAGACTGAGACGCCGCGGTATAAATTTAGCAAGACTACACAACTCTTCCCACACCCTCAGAAGAAACAGAAGGCTCCTCATGGCTCCCATTAGCATGAAGTGTGAGATGACATCAGTCCTCAGCCTCTGGGCTTCCTTGCCCCCTCTGAAAAATGCAGGGTGTTGAAACTCAGGATGACAATTCCCTCCAGCAGGGGGCAGGTAGTTAAAAGTCAGGGAGAAGCACACGGGTATGCATGTGAGTGTGGATGCTTAGATTCTTAACTTGGGTCGTGGTTTTTGTTTTGATAACAAAATTTTATTTTTATTATTATTATTATTAAGAAATTTTCTATTCATTTTACATGCCAACCACAGATTCCCCCCCTCCTCCCTCTACCCTCCACCCAACCTTCCTCCCCCAGCCCACCCACCCCCATTCCCACCTCCTCCAAATCAAGGTCTCCCGTGGGGAGTCAGCAGAGCCTGGTACATTCTGGCAGGTCTAAGCCCCTCCCCCCTACACCAAGGCTGTGCAAGGTGTCCCACCTTAGGGCACCCAGCTCCAAAAAGCCGACTCGTGCACCGGGGATGGGTCCCGATTCAAGACAGGGCTTCTCTGTGTGGCCTTGGCTGTCCTGGAACTTGCACTGGGTCGTGTTTGTGTGGAGTTGGTGACACTATGCTTGGTGTCACTCTGTGTGTCTACGTGCTCCATATAATTGCACTAATAGTGAACTCTCACGTTTGATCTCACAAAGACAGCCGACAGCTGGCTCACTTCCAGTGCAGAATTCCTAGGACTCTCTCCGTGCAGCCTTTTGAAGGTATGCAGGCTTGTGCAAGCCTATTCTTGGCACCCTAACGGTGGACCCAAGAAGTCCCTCCTCTTAGATGCCAGTCAGGAAGAATGGAGTCAACGATGTCTGACCACCACATGCACCAAACATCACCCCAAAACTGAGCCGAGAATCACCTGACCCTGACATTCATGAACATTTTTGCCTTAACAACCGAGAAACTTGATTTAAGCAGTTAAGAAATTCACATCAGCCAGGCAGTGGTGGTGCACGCCTTTAATCCCAGCCATGGGGAGGCAAAACCAGGCAGATCTCTATGAGATCGAGGCCAGCCTGGTCTACAGAGCGAGATCCAGGACAGGCACCAAAACTACACAGAGAAACCCTGTCTCAAAAAACCAAAAAAAAAAAAGAAAGAAAGAAAGAAAGAAAAGAAAAAAAGAGAGAAAGAAAGAAATTCACATCGTTTATATTTTGTTTTTTAAAAAATTAACCCCCACAAAGAAATGTGATTACCTTCCCTAGGAATTTCAAAATTGCTAAGAATTCATCCAGATGTCTCACTCATAATGAAAACTGGGGCACCAGCTGAAGAGTTGCTCATGTTTTACTGTAGCCAGTTACATAACGGAGAATTGGAGTCCCCTAATCCAGGCTTGGGAAGGACGTTTATAAGGGAGGAATGAGCAGTGCCCGCTTGGTCCCATCCCCCATCACACACACACACACACACACACACACACACACACACACCGGTCTCATCCCATCCCCCATCACACACACACACACACACACACACACCGGTCTCATCCCATCCCCCATCACACACACACACACACACACACCGGTCTCATCCCATCCTGCCAGAGTCACATGGCTGGGCTCCAACCAAATGTCATCAGAGGCCCTCAGGTGAAAACACCTGACCTAAAAGAGAAGGCGCTCTGCCGGGCTCACGGTTCCCTCACTCCCTCCTTCTCTTCTGTTTGTTCGGGGTTAGTGCCCCGAAGGAGTCACCGGTGACCCCGGAACAAGCTCAGCCACCACAATCCTCCTTCACACAGACACACTTATGTACAGGTGAAGGTCTCACATGCCTGAAGGCACATTTGTCCCACAAGCGTGAGCGCCCCTGCTACATCAATCACCCACAGCACTTGAGACGTGGAAAGCTCTAGGCAATCAACTCCTAGATTGGAGATTCACAAGAGATTCCAAGTAAGACTTCTTACTAAGTCTCTTGGAGTCCAGGTGCAGTACAGTAATAGAATCTTAGCGTCCAAAAGGAATTTAAACATAATTCAGCTCAACGCCCCTCTCCATCCCACAGGAAGCCCTTCTGGAGCGTCACCAACAGATGGCCTCAAAGGCATTGCCTCAACACTTGCAGTTATGGGCATGCACCGCTGTGTAGGGCGGATGGATTCCATTTTTGACAGAGCTAATTCATCAAACATTGTCCTTCTATTGAACAAGCATCAACATCCTTGACATTTCCAATCCATCGCTCATGGGGAAAATGTGAACAGTGTGGGTCCAGGGGCAGATCCGGCTTCATGCGTGGGACGGCTGCCTCCGATTATAGTCTGTCGTTCCCAAACAAGGAGAGGGTTTCCAAACACCTACAACCCTTCTAAAAATTCCCCCTACATCGTCCTCAAGGAATTCACCAGAGATACTGTCCAAAATCTACTGTGATCCAGACACAGGACATCATTAGTGTTCCTCAATCTCCCTGTCTAATACTATCAATTAAAGAAAATCAGAAGGGCCAGTAAGAGGGCTCTGGTGGTACCACTAAGCCTGATGACCTGAGTTCAATTCCCAGGACTCACGCAGCAGAAGGAGAGAACTTGCTCTGGGAAGTTCTCCTCTGACCTCCACATGTGTGCTATAGCATGGATATACCAGCAAGCAAACACACACACACACACACACACACACACACACACACACACACACACACACAATAATTTTTTTTTAAATATACAGGTGACTGATGTAAAATTTGTGGAAGGTGATGTGATCTATGCAGGAAGCCGAGTGTGTTCGTTTGTGTGTGGTATTTAGAAGGGACTCGGGAAGGCCCACATGAGAGAATCCCTGCATTCTCTTGGGCTCAAA